ATAAAAATAAAAAAACCTACTGAAAGTTTTAAATTTTGGCAACTAAAACTGCCTTGGAAAGGCTTTGTTATAAGCTGTGTCTTATAGTGAGAAGGGCCGTCAGGAAATCAGCATTGAAACCCGTGTCCTGCCTTTCTCCGAAGCTCTGCTCTGCTGAAAGATGTTGGCGGCCAACGAGCAGAATCAATGAAGCTGACTTCAGGCTTAAAAACAGCCCCACTGATCTCCACTCAGCACAAAGTTTTAAACATATTTTGTCAACCACTTTCAGTTTCTTGTTTCTTTCTCTTGTATATTTAACAATTAATGCAGATAACAAGGAGACTATGCAAGCAGTTACTCTGACTCTCGGGCATAATTCACAAAGACTCTCACTGGGGTCTGGACTTTAAAAAAAAAAAAAAATGAACAAGACTTTGAATTTTATACCAATTTTAATATAGACCAGGATTCCTATTTAAACTTTTCTCTCCAATGGCATATTCCTAAAGGTTCATAAAGCTGATTACACAACAAATGTGCAGTCAATCTGCTGATCCGTTGTGGCGCCCTTTGTATTCCTAAGAATCATACACATCCAGAAGTTTATGTATACTTGTATCCTTAATCTGACAAACACACAAACTCTTGTTTGTAACAATGGCCCTTGATTCTATTATTACTTCAAAAGTGAACTTGGAAAAGCCATTCTACTAGTATTTCTCAGAACCTCTCCGTAACTACCCACACTATTAACACTCATTATTCATAAAAACATTTGAAGATGAAAGGGAAAATATTACTTCTCAACTTTATTCCTGCCTTCAGAATAAACCAAATGTGTAACACATTACACTTCAGAGTTTTTCCAACCACATTGGCCTCAATGATATGGTTACATTTAAATATATTCTCTAAAAGCTAACTGGTAGACCCACCAGAGGAACCTGTGCAAAGAATGGACCATCTAATGTGCTTCTTGTAGAACAGTATATGTTAAAGAAGCCTGTTAACATGTAGTTTAAAACTCAAAAGAAACTCTGAACAGCTGAAATGCCTTATAAATAGTACAGACCCAGAGGAAGTGCAAACGTCTGCATTGTGAATTGTAGATCTTAATTACCGACAATGGCTGGTACAGCAAGTAGCACGGAAAAAAAGTGAAACAGTTGCACTGTTCATGGTTGGCAATAATTCTTCAGGAAAATATTTACTATCAATCAGTTATGAGAAAAGGGACTCTGTGCTCGTAAAACAGCACGTTGCTTCTCATACCAGGACCATTTTGCTTCAGCATAATCTGAATTTAAACAGCTTGTTTCCTGCGGATATAATTTTGGAAATAAATAAAACAAGTCTTCTATCAAAATCTGGAGTAAGTGGAAAGGAACATCACATTTTTCTGTCTCAGTCAGTTACAAACAGATTATTAGTCTCAAGTAAAAAACAATAACAACAAACAACAACAACTATTATACAGAACACATCTACAAAGGACTCCTGAAGTGGTTTATTTTCCAAACACAGAAGCAGTACTTCTTTCTACCTGGACAGAAATCTAGATAGATATGTTCAAACAACTCAATTTTAACTGCGTATGTGTGTAGAAGGGTAAATTAGGGAAATACCTGAAATCAAACTTTTCAGTAATATTTTTTAAAAGTTCAATTAAACACAAAGGATTAGTGTTCTTCATTTTTCCAGTTAATTTTCTTTATCAATTAAAAAGCATCATGAAGGTTGACAATTAGGTACAATGTAATTATTGATTTTAAACACTAAGTTGGCAGTCAGTAATGACTGTCCATTTAAAGGTACAATAAATACAAAGCTCATTATGTTCCAATCACAAATTTCATAAAATACAGGGTTATAATTATTAAGAAGGAAAGCTTTGGAAGATAAGACATTTCAGTGCCTCCAAATATTACCTGGATTAAGTTATACTGATAAAATGACCCTCCTCCATTTTTATTTTTAAACTAGAGCCCGATGCACGAAATTTGTGCAAGAATAGGCCTTCCTTCCCCTGGCTGCTGGCACCAGCTTCCCTTTGGCACCGGGGATCCGGGCTTCCCTGTGGCTGCCGGCAGGCACCTGGGACCTGAGTTTCTCTCGCAGCCCTGGCTTTGTCTGGAAGGTTGTCCAGAAGGATGTCTGGTCTAATTAGCATATTATGCTTTTAATATTATAGGTCATTTTTAGGCATCATTCTTCAAGTTAGAGATTCAGAAGATTATTATTAACCTAGGGTGACTATAGTTTGTTTTACAAATTTGTGGGGGCATTTTGTATTCTAACTAGGGCCAATGGGTCTCTTTCCATTGACCTATTGTAAAACACTTATTGTAAGATATTTCCAGCAATGAAGAGTCCTATACAATGTGCTATAAGGGGCCCGAACATAGCAACATTGCTATTTTTAAGGGAATAACTGGTAGTAAAGTTTTCTCTAAAACTCATATCAATAGTTTTTAATAGTAAGGTTTTAGACTTTAATTACCCTCTCCACCTAAATGAAAGTCACTCCTGCCAGAATTGACTGCTTTGAACTAGAGCCCAAAATGGGTGGTCTGACTGTATTATAGTTGCTCTCACATAGAAATGGCTGGACATTCAAGGCCACTTTGGAGTACAATCTGAATCAACAGACACTTGTACCAACTTAAAAACCATGCAACCATATCAAGTATAGCAAATGAAACTATTCAGTTAAGGGCTAAAGGTGAAGAACAGGAAATAGGGACAAGCTTGCAGACCTACAAAAATAGTACCAAGTCATTATTTTTCAAAAGTCAAGCAATAAATGAGGCCAGCAGAAATAGTACAGAATCATGATATACTATAACATGTAAATGAAAAACAGAAAATTCTTCCCATATTTTCATGTTGTTGGTACCTCACTGAAGGCTGTTGCAAAAAGAATAGAATTCAGCCACATGTTCTTATTTGCCATTGATCAATAGTTTATTTAGCTCAATTTGAAGAAATAAACCAGAAGACAGCCTATGGACCAATAAAAGGAATAATAAGCCTTAACTGGTTTGGCTCAGTGGTTAGAGCGTTGACCTACGGAGTGAAAGGTCCCGGGTTCGATTCCGGTCAAGGGCACATGCCTAGGTTGTGGGCTTGATTTCTAGTGTGGGGTGTGCAGGAGGCAGCCAATCAATGATTTTCTCTCATCACTGATGTTTCTATCTCTCCCTTCCTCTCTTTGAAATCAATAATTTATATATATATATATATATATATATATATATATATATATATATATATATATATATATATATCTCCAGAAAATTAGGTGGGTTCCAATAGAAAATGATAAAATCATTATTCAATTAGGGTATTTAAGAAATCAATAAAAGGATATAGATCTCAGAATAATGTTAAAATAAGCAAGAATGGGATGAGAGGGCCACCATCTGGGAGCAAAGGAAATAGACTGATGAGTAGCAATGAGCAAACTTAATTCCTCACCCAACAGCACAGAAGAAATTATGTCATTGTGCCAGATGCCAGAAGATTTCTAACCATGCACCACTTAAGTAGAGTGGGAGAGAAAAAAACACATACACCACATCATACAGACACTCAACAAAATAACTACATAGTTTTAGAGATCCTGGTTTACAAAGTATGGAGAAAACAAAAGGACAGATGTTCTCTTGGCCAGCTCTCAATGAAACTCATTAAAATTGTCACCTTGTCCTCGGATCGGTGCTCATGTTAAGATTTTACCTTGGTTAGCCAGAAGTCACCCACTTGAGATAAAACTGAGAGCAGTGTGGCCAAAAAGGAGATAGACTATTTTTAAAGGCCCAAATAATTGGTCCCCCATCTCAATGTTCAAATGCTAAGTAAAAAATGCGATCAATTAGCACTTGCTGGCTGTTACTAAGTGACTGAAACATGAAATATGTAAATATAATTTATAATATTCATATTTTACAGTAAGTCATTAAGACATTCTAGTTTAAGAAACACTTAAATGACTATCTTTTTAAGCTATAATTTTAAGTAAATTCTGACATTTCTTATAAGGATCATTTCCATTGATTATATTTTCTATTATATATTTTCAGTTGACAAAAATACTGCATGTTTTAAGAAATAAAATTTAAAAAAATATATTGCTGTCCTTTGATTTTTGTAGCAAAGGATGATACCAGCCCTAGCTCTAATAATAACAGTAAGTAATTAAGAGCCTAATTATATAATACAATAGATTAAACTTAAAGTAGTTAAAATTGGAAATGTTGTAACAGTGACAAAACAGTTATTGAAGGCAGTAAGTTTGCAGATATGCAAAGTAAAAGTCTAGAAACAAAGCCCATACTGGAATTTTACTTATTCTTGGAATCATCAAAATGGATGATATCTAAATTTAGATCAAAGCTCCTGAGTAAAGATACTTAGAAAATTTTGAATCATAGTTATATGATTATTAGATTGTAAAATCTCTAATATGTAAGATTATTTTTTTGTATCTATTTTACAGATATGGCACACATTTATACATAAGAGGTAGCTCATATGCATGATTTAAATATACTTGTCCATGCAGATCAAGATCACCAAAAGGAATATTTCTACAATTAAGCTACTTAATAAATAACAATAATGATAAAATAATTGGATTTTCTATAGCATATTTCACAATCCTTGCAATGGTGTACATTATTCTTAATTACACTAGAAGCCATGAACAAACATAAAAATAACTTGTATAATTTCTTACATAAAACTTTACTTTTTTGTTACAATCCATAGCTAATGTTAAGCAACAAATATAATTCAGACGGAAGTGTGACCAGTATACATAATCAAAAAATTATGTTGCAATTAAAGAGCTGGAGATTCCAACTTGTAATCTAATTTGGATAAAATGCTTGCTATATTCTTTTAAAAATATATTAGTAAAATCCTGTAATAAGCTTTATAGCAATAATGAGTGAAGACCTCTATAGATAATGCATTGTTATGAAGTAGTATAATATATATTGAATAATATTACTTACTTTGGCCACACAATTTTCAGTCTTCATAGCAGTGCTTGCTAGACATACTGTTTCTTGGTTTAAGCAGAGTCTGGCACAGCTGTTATAAGTCTGTAAAGAGAGGTGTGGGTTTTTTTGAAACAGGTTTAATATTTCATATACAGTTTTTAAATTCTGCCCTATTTCTCAAAATCAATACACAAATAGATCCTATATGTAAATTCCAGATTTATGAGTACTGAGAGTCAAGAAAGACAGGGGAAAACCCAGGAGAGTCATTGATGCCCCCATAACAAGTATGTGCGCAGCAGTGGTTCACTATATGTATGAAAGGTAGGGGTGTTAGTTATTGAAAAATGGGCAAAGGACTTGTGAATAGATATTTCTCCAAAGAAGACATACAAATGGCCAGCAAGCACGTGAAAAGATAGATGGTCAACATCACTAATAATTAGGGCAATGCAAAGCAAAACTATAATAAGATACCACTTCATACTTATTAGGATAAATATTAGTAAAACAACAACAACCACCAAAACAGAAAACAAGAGTGGGCAAGGATGTGGAGAAATTGGAACCATTATGCACTCACTGTTAATGGAAATGTAAAATGGTATAGCACTGTGGAAAACAGTATGGCATTAAATAATTAAAAATAGAATTACCATCCAATAATATCACTTTTGGGAATATACCCCAAAGAATTAAAATAATCCTGAAGATACTAGTATACTGTATTAGTATGTAGTGCTCATAACAGGATTATAATCACAATAGCTAAAATGTGGAAGCAGCCCCTTTGTACATTACGCAAAATGTGATATATATATATATATATACACACACACACACACACACACACACACACACATACACAATGAAATACTATTAAGCCTTAAAAAGGATGGGAAATTATGACACAGACTATATAATGAGTTATATGCAAATAGACCAAATGGCAGAACAACTTAACAACCAATCAAAGAGTAATATGCTAATGATATGCTAAGGCTGCTCACTATGATGTGCACTGACCACCAAGGGCAGATGGCTGGTGAGTGCTACTGCAGCAGTGCCAGCCTCTCCAGATTAGGACTGATTAGGTGCAAGCCCACAGCAGGCACAGTGGGGCTAGGATGAGCAGGAGCACAGGCAGCATTGGACTGCGAGTTTCGGCCAGATCCCTGCAGGCCACCCAGAGAGACCCCACCCGTGCACGGCCTCCAGTACTATGTAACATGGATGAATCTTGGGGACATTATGCTAAGTGAAATAAGTCCATTACAAAAATATAAATATTATACAGTTACATTTTTAGAGATTTAGAGTAGTCAAAATCATAAGAGACAGAAGTATTATAGAATAGTGGTTGCCAGGACCTGGGAGAAGAGGGAAAAGGGGACTTATTGTTTAACAGGTACAGAGTTTCAATTTTACAAGATGAAAAGAGTATGGTGATGGATACACACAATGTAAATGTATTTAATACCACTGAACTGTACATTTTAAAATGACTAACATGGTAAATGTTATGTTACATGTATTTACCACAATTAAAAAGAAAATTGGTTGTACTTTATGGTAAGCAAACATTATTAACAACTGGCCAATATATTAATAAAAATATTTCCCCCCTTTTTTTATGTTGTTACTGATGGTACAAATCACAGTCCTCACATTTTAGCATGCATCAGAATAATCTGGTGATGATTGTTAAAACACAGATTACTTGGCCCCATCCCCAGAGCTTCTGAAAATTTGCATTATTAACAAGTTCCCAGTTGATGTTAATGCCACTAGTCTAGGAACACTCTGAACACTACTGGAATAAATGTGTGTGTTGAAATTAAAGAGAAAAATCTGGAGATTGATTTCTTATGTGAATGTCTTACATAACTACAGAAGATTTATCAAAACTAAGGAATTAACAAGGTATAATATAAAAAAAAAAAACAACCTTGAGTTTCTCCACTTTTCTCACTAATGCCCCTTTTCTATTTGGAATCCAACCCAAGATTCCACATTGCATTCAGTTGTCATATTTCCTTAACCTCCTCTAATCGGTTACAATTTCTCATCTTTCATGACTCCGTCATATCTAAAAAGTACTGACTAATTAATCTATGGAACATCCCTCAGTTAAGGTCTATGTTTTCTCCTGATCAGATTGAGGTTACACATTACTAGGAAGGAAAGCACAGAGGTGGTGTGCTTGTCTCAATGTATCAAGTCAGGAGATATGTTGATGAATATTTCTAGTGATGTTAGCCTTGATCACTTGCCTAAGATTGTATCTGCCAAGATTCCCAATTGTAAGCTTATTTTTTTCTTCCCTCAAAAATTACTAAATATTGGGGGAAATACTTTGAGACTATGCAAATAGCATTTTCTGCTTCAGCTTTGCTCACTAATTTTAGCATCCACTGCTAGAGCTTGCATCTATGGTGATTTTTACTGTGGTGTTTGTTCTATTGGTAATTTTTAGATTTCTCCCTTTCCTTCTACATTTATTAGCTGGAATTTTTCTGTAAGGAAGACCTATGACTTCTTTGCCAATTTACTTACATATTTATTCATTTATTTATATCAGCAATGGCTGCATAGGTATCCTATATAATAAAGAGTTAATATGCAAATGTTTGTTACACAGTGACATGTAATGACCTATCACTAGGGGGGTGGGGCAGCAAACTACAAGTGGGGAAGAACTACAGGAGGGCGGGGCAGCAAGCTACAAGCAGCAGAGAGCTACAGCGGCAGTGGGCAGGTGGCCTGAGGCAAGCGGCAGCGAGCTATAATACTTGCGTATGGATTCATGCATAGGGCCACTAGTTTAAATAATTCATTTTTGGTCAATTATCATTCTTTGGAAAGAGAATAGATTGATAAAAATAAAATATAAAGAAACAGAAAAAATATTATAAAATTGATTTTCAGTTAAACAAGTTAAATTTTTAAAAAGGTATCCACTTAACTGTGTAGTCTTAAATTATTTAACTTGAAATTATTTCAAAACATATTTTAAAAGAATCAACTAGATCATCTGACATTAGTATATAGGACCTCTGGTATATTTATATTTTAGGATCAGGGTTCAGTACTTCTTTTGCAACTATTAATACCACAAACATTTACTATTCCTATACAGACAACATATAATTTTTAAAAACTAAACTGTGTTTTAAAAAGACATTTATGCAATAATTTGTATATACTGAATAAAATAAAACTTTAAGCCAAAAAATTCTGGCTCCAATAATGGTAGAAATGTTTTGTTTAAATTAACCCTCTTGATATAATAATTATAAACCATAGAAAAATATTTTAAAATAGCTACATTAAAGGCAGGAGGTTGACCTAAAGTAGGCAGAAACTGGGGGGAGGAGTGGACTGACCTTGAAAGAGGATAACCACTCTGGTGAGATCCATGTTTATGTGCTTTTCCCTAAGGGTACTACTACTCATTAGTCTATGTGGTGCAGGGTGACTAAAATTCAACTAGAAAGTCACAGTCTATTGGCTTGAGATGTCAGAGGGTAGAGTTCGGGGCTACCATAGTGGCTGGAAAATGAGAAGAGAAATCATAGAAAATAGAAAGAGCCATGGGTAGGGAAGCAGCATCAAAACATTCATACATGTTCCCTCAAATCCATGGCTAACCACAAGCTACATACATGAGTGGGAGACTCCAAGCATTCCAATGGAAAGTAACATCTGGAAGACTAAAAGACCTAAGCAGAGATTCTAGCTGCTGCTCATGAGGGGAGACAGAGTTTATAATTTGATTTCTACTCAGTTAGAGGGGCTTAATGAGCACCTCAAACTTTCCACTGAAAACTCAGAAAACTCCACATTGAGACTAAAAAATAAATCTTAGGACTAAAAGATCTTCCTTAGGACTAAGGGCAAAATCAAAATACATCTAACGGACACAAAAATCAGACTCTATGAAGTTGAAATTACCAGCCAGAAAGTTAATCAGAGAGAGATAAAAGAATCCATAGTCTCTGCTATGTACCATTTATAATGTCCATTATATAATTTAAAAAAAACCATATATATGAGGAGCAGATAAATGGGACCCATAGTCAAGAGAAAAAGGAACAAACAGAATATGACCATGAGAGGACTTAGTTGTAGAAATCAGTACATAAAGGCTCTACAGAAGTTGTAATAAATACGTTCAACAACTTGCCAAGACCGGTTTGGCTCAGTGGATAGAGTGTCAGCCTGCGGACTGAAAGGTCCCGGGTTCCATTCCGGTCAAGGGCACGTACCTCGGTTGTGGACACATCCCCAGCAGGGGGTGTGCAAGAGGCAGCTGGTCGATGTTTTTCTCTCATCGACGTTTCTAACTCTCTATCCCTCTCAATTCCTCTCTGTGTAAAATCAATAAAATATATATTAAAAAAAATACATTCAACAACTTAAATGAAAAATATGATTACAATGAAAAATTTGAGATGAAAATTTTCATCAGAAAAATTAAAACCTGAAATGAACCAAATAAAAATCCTATAATTGAAAAGTACATTACCTAAAATTAAAAATTTACTGGATGAGTTTAAAAGCAGACTGGAGATGGCAGAAGAAAAGGTCTATGAAATTAAAGACTGATCAATTGAAATGATCTAAACTGAAGAACAGGGAGAGAAAAAAAAAACAACAACAAACAGAATCTCAGTCTCTGTTGGGCAATTTTCAATGGTCTAACAACATATATTCACTTGGAGACCCAGAAAAAAGGTGAGAATGGGGCAGAAAAAAAATTATAAAAATATGACCAAATATTTCTCTAATTTGGTGAACACCATTGGTTTACTGATCTAAGATCAGCAAACCTCAGAGATTAAAAACAAAGAAAATATAACTTAGATCCAACACAGTAAAAACTGCTGACAACCACAATGACAAAATCTTGAAGCAGCCAAAGGAAAAAGGGGATTCTGCATACATGAAAGCATATAAATCGTGGTAGACTTTTCACCATAAACAAGGAGGGCTACAAGATAAAGAACAACATATTTTAAGTGCTGAAAGGAAAAATCTCAAACCAGGTTTCTTTTTTATAGATTTCAGAGAGGAAGGAAGACAAAGAGAGAGAGAGAAAT